CGAATCGTTTGACGAGACGAAAAGGAACAACAAAAGATACTGAACTGTACTGATACTGTACAATAGAGTGCAGTACAGTACAGTACATACAGTACCAAGATCGTTTAGATGATTGAATAAATTGTCCAAACCCTCACACTGTGCTTGCTCGAGGTTGCGCTCCCGATCTCGAGATCAGTTTGGGGTGTCATCAACACAGCCACCACTAATTCCTGTTACTAAGTGGTTTCGCAATTCAATATCGATTTTGACAATTCAAATTTTCATCTTATTCCATGGTGCGGAGCAACTTGACTTGCGTCCTAACACCTGAGGCCCGGCTATATAAAATTTCTGCTATTATTACCGCCATAATACTGAGACAGAAAATCTAGGACGGCATCGTAGCCATACACACGTGAAACTCTCGTTGCTTTGGTGTTCAAGCTCGCTCTACTAGCCGTGCATGTTGTCCATGAGGTCTCCGCCGCTGCATTTATAAGGTTGACTGGCTCCTGAACCGGCTCTACCTCACTACTCAGTCCTCGGACGAAGTGTTGTGGTCGACGGGCCGGTTCCTGCGGTAGCGGCTTGTGTACGCAGTAGCAGCTGGCGTGATAGGCAGCCTGTCTGTAGTAGATGCGACGACAGCGTGCAGGTATAACATTACCGCAATGCGTACATTTTAGAAGAAATTGCTCGCTTGGACCGTAACCTGGCTGGAAGACGCGGGTGTCTAGGCGGCCAGGACTGCGTAGGGGAATTCTTGGCTTTACCGACATATGAGTGCTGTCTTCTGTGGCAAAGCTGCACCTAAATACCTAGCTATCTATTTCTAATTTTGATCAGTGAGTTGACCCCTTATCTAGAACGGCTCACTCAAGCCAAGAATAGCCGTCTCTAGCGTGCCAAAACTTTATGCCATTTGCAGTTTTTACCGGCATTTTCAATATAGAAATAAATTTGTTGTGGCATTTATTTCTGCGAAGGGGCTCCGCCAATGGTTGGGCAGCAGGGGTTCGTGGCACAAGGCAAGCAGTAGTCGTGAGATCCATGTTCGCCCGCGTGGCAGCAAGAGATACAGCACAGCTCACCCATCTCGCTATAAGACTCCTTAGTATTCTACCTATTCGAGTGAAAATGCGTGGCCGTCATACCTCAGAAAACCTGGTCTTGAAGCTAGATGTAGAAAGACGTCGCGTAAAATCTAGCCACAGTGCGGTGCGTAGGACCGCTATTCGGTTTTTCTCGTTCCAGTCTGCCTCTTATAATTTCGGAATGAATCAATACTAGGAGTAAAAGTGATACCATGCTTCTTCATGGTGAGTCATCGTGGAGCGAGTGTAACAAGCTTCCTCGCTCTCTATAGTTGCTTTGGTGCATCTTTAATGGCATGATATAGAATGCACTCGAAGCTTTGTGTCTAAATAATACTCACTGATAAGCAGTTTCTTCTTTTGCGCTTGTTTAAGTCTGTCGTGTCTCTCGGACATCTTATGAAGGACAAATGGATATGGGAAGCTATCTTCAGACAGCTGCAGCTGCTTTGAAAGCAATGATGCAGTGGTATTTATCGGTGTTGGACTAGATCTTCCGGAGCGGCCTCTGTACATCGCCGTTTGGGGCGCGATGATTACGCCCGGAGACTGCTGCTGGCTTTGATTGTTGGATCGGAGCCTATTTGCTTCCAGTCACGTCGCCCTGGATCTTGTTTCCCGCGAGCGGTCACGTCTCGGATGTTGACAATGATAGCTATTTGGTGCTCTGATCACATTGGTTGACAGCCCAATAATCCATCATTCTGACCGTTTGGCTTACGAGACTGGGTTTCTACCACAAACACAGCTTTCCGTCATGCAAGACAAAAAAATCGTTAACCGAAGACTTTTTTGCCAGGAAACAAGGTATTGGTCCTGTGCCTGACTCTAGAGTCCTATATGTGCCCAAGTCAAACTACTGGTACCGGGTACTAGACCACTGCATCCGCAAGACAGCAATGACCGAGACCCATGTCAAAAGGACCACACGTACAGACCCTATGTTTTGTTCTAGGTAGATTTTCGATCCCATAGCCAGCATGACGATCGCGATCATTTGACAAATCCATGTTATCCCCTTCACCAACTTGTGCGCCATCTGCTTAGCTTTTGCATGTGACTGGCAAGAGTTCTTGTCCTTCAAACTAACCTGTAGTCACCATTCTCGCTAGGAGTCTTGGTGGAATTCAACGCCGGATCCTCTCTGGGAGATGCCGTGTTATGGGGAGCCGAGTATCCTTGAGATACTTGACTCGCAGCCGGATGACAAATCACCGAGCTTTTTGCCACAAGTTGCTGCTGTTGCTGCTGTTGCTGCTGTAGTTGCTGTAGTTGCTGTAGCTGCTGTTGCTGTTGTAGCTGCTGTAGCTGCTGTTGCTGCTGTAGCTGCTGTTGCTGCTGTAGCTGCTGTTGCTGCTGTTGCTGACACACCACACGCTGCTGTATCTGTTGCGACGAGAACACCTGTTGCACCTGCTGTGGCATGTACGGGTTCATTAGCGACGACCCCTGGGAAGGCATTGCTTGCTGAGACCCCGGCTGCGCTTGCCTCGTCATGTAAGAGGTCATCAGCGCTGGTTGAAGAGGCATAGTTTGGTGGGACGCCGACGGAGCGTACTGCCCCGCGTGAGATTGCAGTGGAGGGGCCGTATACGGGGTCTGCTGTCCATGGTAGCCTTGGTACCCTGAGGCGGGGACCTGGGCCTGAGTAGACATGAAGGCGTTGATTGCGCTGCTTGGGTTCTAGCCAGGTACATTAGCTTGGATGTGTGTTGCACATAAGAGGGGCGTGAACACACTCCGGTAAGCAGAATCACCATTGTCTGGTTCTCTTGGGCGGAGCCAGGGTACATCTTGGGGTATTGGAATAGAGAAGTCAATATGGATGCCGGGCTTAAGAAGAGGAGACGCGCAGGCAGGGGGCAGTAGAGCATGAAGCTACAAGGCCAGACGAGAATATATGCAGGGAGGCAAACGGTCTGTGAGGAGCTGACGAGAAGTTCCCAGCGGCGGAGAGTCGGGCTTTTGTAGCCACGGACAAAGTCCCGGTCATGTGTGTCCCCGGTTTCACGAGCCGCTCTCAACGCAGCACCGCTTCGGCCAGGATCTCCGGCCTAAACAGCAGTAGTGAAGAGCGGATGGGGAAAAGA